TCACCCTAACCCTAACCCTAACCCTCCAGCCTTCATAATTGTGAGAAATAAATATTTTTGGGTTAAACTTGTTTGGACTTATTGTACAAACCTATTTAACATCCACTATTTTAACATAACATTATGTATAGAGTTTAATTCAGTGTTTGCTAGATTCATTTAACTATTTTTAAATTAACGTCAATTACGATTCTCTTGCCTGGGATCTTCTTATTGGTGACCTAATCAAAATGGCCGACTTGGACGTGGGCGGAGTCGGACATCCATCCTTGGCTTCCTGCAGGCTGACTTGGATATTCCTGTTTCCCAGAGGCCTCGGGCTTCCAGGCTTTCATGCATTGCATCCGGAGGATTGAGATGGAGATGGACCATACACTGTGGAGGCCCCGGGGGGGGGGGTGTGTGGAAGGGAATGTCCCACCTCAGGCCTGGATGGGGGGGGTTTCTGTCCCCGGAGGTGTACAGTACTGTGCATATCACATGTTTTCGGGGAGGGTGGACCGGTTTTGGCTGTTTTTTTTTGGTCTTTTTGTTTTGTTTTGTTTTGGTTTTGTTCGTTTCCCCCACTCTCCCCCCCCCCCCCCCTACATGAGCAGCAGCTGCCCCAGCGCCATCCTGAACTGCTGCGTGCAGGCGGCCAGCTCCCGCACGCGCTCGGTCATCTCGCGGGCGGCGCCGGGCGCCGGGTACTGCAGGGCGGCCATCTTGGTGCTGACCACCACGTCCTTCAGCTTCTCGCAGAGCGCGTTGCTGCTCTGGGCGGCGCGACCTTTGACCTCGGGGCTCCGGGCCTGGCGGGCCAGCGTGTCCCCGATGAACACCAGCTTGTGCGCGCTCAGGATGACGAACTTGCCGTGCGCCACGAAGATCTTGGGCGGCTGGTTGGAGCCCACCGCCGAGAAGAAGGCGTCGATGGCGTTGGTTACCGTGGTGACGTTCTGCTCGCACTGCTCCTGGTAGAACAGCAGCAGGTGCCGGTCGCCGGGGCAAAGCCTGGAGGAGGAGGAGGAGGAGGCGGGGGGGGGGGGCCAAAGGGTGGTTCGGGGGCGGGGCCCAGCCCGTCATGTCGCTGTTGATTGGCCGGCTCACTTCCTGCTCCAGACGCTCAAACTGTTTGATCTTCGAGAGACAGATTCCGGAGATTAACGTTAATGTCAACAGATCAAAAAGCCATTTAGTCCATCATTTCATACAAATAAAGGCGACCAATGTCTGTTTGTATTTTCCGAGTTTCTTTCTATGTACTTTCTTTGATGCTAACTAAAAAAAACAAAAGGCAGTGGGCTAAAAGTAGTGTAAGAAACATAAAGTCAACACAAAAAAGCCATTTAGTCCATCATTTCATGCAAATAAAGGCGACCAATGTCTGTTTGTATTTTCAGAATGCAAAGTACTTAGATTTGCAACTTTCTTTGACGCTAACTGGAAAAACCAGAAAGCAGTTAGCTAAAAGTGGTGTAAGAAAAATAAAATCAACAAATCAGAAAGCCAATTAGTCCATCATTCTACACAAATAAATACAAATGAAGATGACTAATATGTGTTTGTATTTTCCGAGTTTCTTTCTAGGTACTTAGATTAGCAACTTTCTTTGATGCGAATTAAAAAAAAACAAAAGGCGGTGAGCTAAAAGACGTGTAATAAAAATCAAATCAAATCAAAATGCTAATTAGTCCATCATTTCATGCAAATAAAGATGACCAATGTCTGTTTGTATTTTCCGAGTTTCTTTCTATGTACTTAGATTTGCAACTTTCTTTGATGCTAAAAGACGCGTAGAAAAATAAAATCAACAGATCAAAAAGCCAATTAGTCCATCATTCTATACAAATAAATACAAATGAAGACGACTTATGTCTGTTTATATTTTCAGAGTTTCTTTCTATGTACTTTCTTTGATGCTAACTAAAAAAAACAAAAGGCAGTGAGCTAAAAGTAGTGTAAGAAAAATAAAAAAAATACAAATAAAGACGACCAATATCTGTAGTTTCAGAGTTTCTTTTCAGGTATTTAGATTTGCAACTTTCTTTGATGTTAACTGAAAAGACAAAAGGTAGTTAGCTAAAAGACGCGTTTAAAAAATATTAAATCAATAAATCAAAAAGCCTATTAGTCCATCATTTCATACAAATAAAGACGA